CTCCTTCTGACTAGTGGTTTATACAGAAAGGTAACCTTACGCCGGTATAGTTTGCTGACGCAGCTGCTAGTTCCCTTGATGTGCAACACATTGTTGAAGCGGAAAGGAACATCGAAACTTCATCATAGTCTATCGTACGTACTATGTCTGAGAACACTTGCTGATGTAGTGCTCCAGCTGTGGCATTTCTCTTTTCTCGAATATTTCCTTAAACTCGACGTTTAAGGACTTTGACTATATAATGTTTTCGCAAAGCAGGGCAGTTGTCAGCCACCCGGTGAGTGACCTTTACATGCTCTAAAACCAGGATATTCCATTCTCGAGGGAAAGGAAAGTTTACTTCGAGTAAATTAAATATGGCTTACGGGAATTGCTACTGTCGGATTCCGTGGTAAGTAGTTCAAAATTCGACACTTGTTTTTGGATCTGTAGGGCCATAAAATGGATCTTTTAGATAAATGGGAATGCTACATATGGAATATTCTGTTTGGAACATTCCTTAGTTTGAAAAAAACTATCCGGATTTTAACACATTTAATGGAATTGCTTTAAAAAGATTGATCCATAATATCCATGGCCGGCTTTATAAAGTAATAATATAGTTCTCTTCAAGCATGGCATCGGTAGAATTCCTTATTCCCCTGATATGCTGAACAGCATTTTGCCTACACACGGCTACCTGTTGTCCGTTGCATCAACCAAATTCTGAAGATAACCACACATAAATGTGGCGTAGATCATGATTTGATTTAAGTAAGTTGTCCTCTTCCTGCGCACAGGAACAAAAACAATGTTTGAAGGCATGCACTTTAATCTTCCAAAGCCACATAAACACTTACGTGTGAATTAACTGACGTAAGTGAATGCACCTTCATCCCTGTCTATCAAAATGCTATTTTAGTTCTTTATGAACGTGTGGTTAAACATATATTTATGAAATTTAGCGATCGAATAAACTATACGTTACAGGGCAATAAGAAAAGTACTGCTGTTCGACCAAATTCGCTTCAGGCTTAACTATATAATACTCACCAACTCAAAATCAGCAGATAACTGCAAACCAAGGTCTTCAAATGGTGTGCGCTCTTCGAGACCAATCGTGGATACAATAATATGGTCCACATCTGACATACCGTTTCTTATTGTCTCTTTAAATTCCACCATAACAGCTGCATTCTGAAGTGAAATGGAATGTTATGACCATACACAAGAAATACCGGGTTGATGATAAACGATTGTAAATTAATCATTTTTCTGTATTTTGTTGTTATATGATCCAGAAAAGAAGGCGATGTTTTAAAAAAGAGTAGCACATTAAGAATTACAATAGCAGATGATACTTAAAGTGATTGGAAACTGTATGGAAACAGTCACTAAATCACGTAAGAATTCGACATCAATTTATTTTATGAAAAGACCACTTTATTGGACAAACAGAGAAATAAATTACCAAAAA